ATTTAGGGTCTTCCATCAGTAATATTCAATAAGCTTCATAAAAGGTAGTGACTTAGTCAATACCGAGCAAAGAGAAGTCAACTAAAGTTTATACCGACTTGAGAAATAACGACAGGTTGCGTGCAGGCAGAAACAAAATTCTACTAACAGAACAGTGCGAAAATAAAGATTTTTTTCTCTGTTTCCAATCATTTCGAAAAGTGAGATGGTCTCCTTCGATGGGGACAATGTCTAACCACAGCTAGGATTTCGGTGTTAATGACAGCAGCATGTACTTTTTAAAAGTTTTACAAGTATTTCCAAATATCATAATTCGCGTTGTTCGCTTCAGGCCAGGACAGCATTCGTGCCACGTTCGACTAACTGTGGTACGTCGACTTGTGGCAAAGCCTTCGACAAACCCTGTTGCTAACTGTAATTGGAACAATTATCACCAAAGAAAAATATACTTTTTTACCATCATGATTATTACAGGAGCGTAGGGTACTTTCATCCCTTTGGTATCGAGCAGTCGTTTAGTTTGCATGAGTTAGCTTCAACATTGGCCAAACACTAGCTTTCAGAGAACTTAGAGTCTAAAGCAACTTTTATACTTTATAATGTGGCGATTCGTAATGATTTCGGCTAAAATATTGTTATGCATGATTGGCTAGTAAGTGAAAACAATTCAGTAGCTTAGGTCATGTTGATAACCGCCGTTTACTTTATAACTGCAACTGTTCAGTGTTAAAATAAGTGTGCGCCAAGAAATCAGGAGAATGTAGGCTCGATTTCGGCCAATCTTCATGCTATATTAAAGTTCTCTTAGTTAGGCTTCTGACATAGCGAAATAGCATTCGCGGATAGCGTAGAAACAAAAAACACCAGACAATTTTTCCTGTTCTCGGATTCTATTAAGGAACTTGAGGCTTATAGTTACCTGCACTTCACAGCGGGTAGTCGGGTGGACGGTGGCCAATTTGTCCGGCTTAAAGGGTCTTGCCGCGTTATACAAGAAATCGTTATACAAGAGAACTGCAGCAGAGAATAACTGCTAAATGACCGCAAAACTGTCTAATTTTGTCACTTATTGTCTCGATTTAAAGGGTCATTCATTTGCGGTTAGTCTTGTACACGAACAAATGCTACAAAATATCACGACATAAAACTATTTTTCGGAAATTGGGCAGGACCTTTCAGTATAAGTACAGCTATGGTAAACATTAGGATTGAAAAACTACTTTAACGCGTCACTTTAACTCTAAGAATTCATTATCGCCGCTTAATTAACAGAGAAATCCGGCCGCCTGATATTATACATAACTACAGTATAACTTCCTTAAAAATTAGAGCAACACTTGTCACTCTCATTAGAGAAAAAACTAACTTAAACTGCTCTCACGAAATTTCTTTCAGTTTCTGCGTATTGATGAGATTGAGAGAACTTATCCAAGGCCTTCTTCATTTCGAATCAAACTTGCTTACATCGCGCATATTACCAAACTACCGCTGTTTGTGTAAAATAGATAAACGGCGAGAAAGACAGAAAAATATAGAATAGACATAACTTTGTGTTCTGTCTTCTTTGTCCAAATTATTGTCAATATTTTAAAATTTAAAACCTGATATTCCTATGTAAACGTTTTGTCGACATTGACTCTGAGAAAAATGAGATTTCGTACGTCATTAGAAGATAAACCTCACAAAGGAAGTAAAAATATGTCATATGATGTGATGTAGCTGGACTGTTCTGAGGGTTTTCAGTACAATTACTTCAAAGGAAGGGAAACATGCTGCAATAAACTGACTTCACGTACCCTATAGTTAAGAGAGACATGCAAGATTAACCTGTTTTATTGCCCACATAAAGATAACTTGAAGTAGGTTATCACCTCTAGTACAATTTGAAATTCTGGTAAATTATAGATGCTGGCAAGGCTTCCATGCAAAGTTAAATTTCAGCTGTTGTGTTCTGCAAAGCTAGCTTTTTCGTTTCAACAAAAATTGAAAAACATGTACATGTAGATTACCTTGAAAAGGACGACCAAATTCTGAATTGCAAAGAACACAAATCAATTAACCACTCCGTAGAAACAATGCCACAGCAGGTACTTGTAATCAAAGAGTAAACAAAAATCAAAACAAAAGTTTGATACATATGCTCCTCGACTTAAAATGTTTGTAATTTTGAAAAAAAAAAACCTGAGAATTAAACAATTAAACCCTTTAACAGTGAGATTAACTACGAAATACCACAGTTACAAATGACAAACTTGACCTACTGTAATTTTTTAACGTAGCTGATAAGATTTTTAACACTCCGTAATACTTGGTCTGATACTTTTACAAAGATAATTTTGTCAAGACTTGAAGCGTAGAATAAATATTGGTTTCTTTGAGATCATCAGCGTGATTCCACTTATCGCCCTCACACATCAATCTTTAAGTTGTAAATCTTTCACTGTACATGAACTTACCTATTTACCTACCACACAATTAAGAGCATAACAAGAGATATACGCCCTTTGAGCAGAATAAAAACTGACGAAATATTAATTAAACTTAAATGTTACCATCACGAAAAAAATCGGGCATTTATTTTAAAATTTTCAGAAAAAAATAAATGCGAAATGTCATAAAATAAAAATTTAAACAAAATTTGTTCTCAGCTTTCTCAAAAAGCGAGAACTTATTCCGTGATGTCATTCCTTAGGTAATGCCTTTCACTTCAATTGAAGATCTAGCCGTTCTATTAATAAGGTGCTTTTAACGTTGTATTGCGCGGGATTGAGAATACCTTAAAAATGCCTCAAATTATTAATGATTCAGTAGTAATAAATTGGGAGCAACTACATCTCATAAATTGATCTGGTTAACTGGTGAAACAAACTGATCTCGCGGTATGTTTAAAAATGTTGAGAAGAGAGTACGAAACAAACTGGAGAACAATGCGACCATCTCTCTTCTCTCTTAGTTCCTCGAACGAGAAAAAAAGCCAATGAACCAACGATAGAAAACGAGAGCTAGAAATGGCCTTACCAAAATATGAGAGCGGGAAGCACATTTCGCCCCAGTTTTGGTGCGCCATTGAAGCACCCTTCTTTTTTTTTTTTTTTTTTTGGACGGTTCTTCTTTCCGTTTCCTGTTTGACTACAAGCTTTTCGAGGTTTCTTTACGTTAATCTCCCCAGTTATTTATTGCACAGGCAAGTGTTTTGAATTGTTCTCTGTTGGTTTAACTTAATGAGTGTGCTTATTTTGGGGTTTACTGTACAATAACCCTTGCTACTGACCAATCAGCGCTCGCGCCTTAGATCAGTTACTTTATAACATGCTCTTTCTTGTCAGTGAACAGCTGTTATAAGCTTTCAAGATAATGACGAAAGGTCACGTGCTAACGGAGCAACGCCGGAGACCACGCCCAGTAAAGAGGCGTTTCAATAACCGCTGGAGATGGCTGCCAAGGACCTCTGTCAGAATATTGTTAGTAAATCACATCAGCCCATTCAAATCCATTCAAAAGACACTTATACCTCTCCAAAATTGTCACGCGCATGCTTGGTTCCCAATTACCAAATAGAACAACATTTGTCCGCTCTATCCAAATCATTTCACCGCAGATCTTTTCTATAACCTAAGTCTACAGCTGATGAACAAAAAGGCTTACTATTTACTGAGTAACAGGTCATGACATGGAAGCCCTCATAAAGTGCGCTCAAGAACTAAATATCTCCTATTGACTTAGTCAATTAGGTTTTTATTACAGGGTCTTTTATCTTGTTCTTGATTGGTTGCAAAATGGCGAAGCACGCCCTTATTGTCAATAGCTATTATAGAATAGAACAAATTCAAACTAATTTCCAAGTTAACTTCCATTTCAAACTTCGGTCGCATCGGACGGTAGGCGAATGACCCTGCTCGGCTAAGCTCAAGTCCAGTCCTAAGCCATCGGACTCCGCTCAGTCAGTCTATTTAAAATAACGCGCGCAGGGCCACACGGGACTTGTGATGACTGACGCTCCATATGTGTATACAAAAAAAAAACTTCAGTTGTCAGCAGGACTAGCCGGCTGTCGCTTGTCTCCGCCGGAGATACGTCTGCTTTCGCAAGCTACAGCAGGACTGGCCCATGCTTAAATTAGAATAAACAATTAGTACAGTCAGTAATGTGAGCTGACATTAATATTTGTTTTGGCTTTGTTTGTTTATGAAGCTTACAGATACACAAATTGCATCGACGATTTTAATTACTACAAAATTAGCGAAATAACAATTCTGTGCCAAAGATTTGCGGACATATCTCACAAACACCGTAAATATCGAGGATACATGGTTATTCGTGGGAAGAAAGTACCGACTGTTTACAAAGGTAGCTCGGACTTTAACTAATTGTTGCGTAGAGTTTAATATCGAATTAAGGGAGATGCGAATTCTGCATATGTTGATACAGAAACTACAAAATTGGCACAAAACTTCAAAAAAATTAGTTAAAATGACAAGGAAGACAGACAGGCAAGATGAGGCAAATATTTCAAAAATCGATATTTTCCATAAATGATTTCAATTTTCGAGTACCTCATGACCGTCATTACAAGGAAATCACAAATTTGCGAAATTAATTCAGAAGCATTCTACTTATTGCTTTTTTCAAAATTAAAATTCCAGCCAATTTTGCAGCTTGTCTAATGGAACGAAAAAGCGGTGATGATAATCGATTCCGTTTTCATCACTCAAAACTTTTACTAATACGAATACAAATTGCCGGATTTTGTTATGATAATTTTCAAAACAATGAAAAAAAAGTATTAGACTCCCTTTCATTTTCATGCTCAGTTTATATTCTCGCATGCGCCAGAAAAAAAACGATAACAGGTTAAATGCAATGCGTGAGAACAGTGTTTAAACCAAACTGTGAGATTCGAAAACATTTTAGCGGTTTATTATAGAGTAGAGCAATTTTAGCTCCGAACATTTGAAATGCATTTCGTGTAATATTGCGTATAATTTTGATGCTTTGTACAGAAAACAATTAGCAATGGAAGGAAGACCGGCAGAACTCCGACGAATTGCCGCTGTGATATTTCTACTTATCAACTTCGGAGTCATAATATCAGAAAGTTTGGTCATCGGTAAGTAACCAAGAGATTACAATGTTTCTTGTAAAACAGTAAGGTTGATCCACAAAGCAGTAAAAAGCTTGGCTCTTTAGAGATCAGTATATCGAAAAGGGCGAGTATCAGCAATCTTACCTAATCGTAGAACACTTGGTTTAGACATGGCTAGATACAAAACGAACGAGAGTTCATTGGGCAAATCGCAAAGGATAAAAGTATCTGGAACGAGCGTGACAATTACACGAGAAGGGATTGGAAACCCAAACGCGGGTCACAATGAAAAACCTTATTTTTCTGATACAAAAGTTATGACAATAGTTTAAATAGCAATATCACCCGCTTATTTTGGGAAGGCTTTACTGTGGCGTTTAATTTGCGCCGAACAGTTGAAAACTGCTTGTAATTTTACACGCTGTTCCCACGCATTACGCTCCACTATCGAAATTTTCGCCTTTAAAGTTACGCTTCTCTAATTCAGCAATGGTGATGTTATTATATTCTGAAAAGAAAACAACATGTTTACTAATAGTAAGGTCTTTTCCAATTAAAATCAGCGGAATCGCTGAAAGGGATGAGAGATGAAGCTCATCTTTCACAATTTGAAAGACTCTGAGAGCGCGGTTTTACAAAAGTGGAAACGAGCAAAGGATATGCGCCGGAAAATTTCTCACAGAAATTTCCAGGTGTTTTGTTTTACACCGGCTTTATCTCTGGGGAATAACGCCTGTATTTCCTTCTCTGTCCTTACTAGATGACCCGCGATCCACAGTTATCTGTATAGCAGGGAATACATCCCACAACGTGTCGTTCGAGAAGGACATCACTGCCGGAGTATTTACCTCTTTGGACACTGCAAACAGCATCGAAAGCTGCGTGCGCAGAGCGTGCAACAGAAGGGATGGGGACATGACATTTCTGGTGGGAAAAAGCTGCTTTATGGTCAGATGCTACTCGCCAACGTCGTGCAAGATAGTGAAGCCTTCTTCCCCGAGTAGTGTCGACATTTCTATCACGCCTTACACGTGGTTTGGTAGGTCACAACTCACTGAGTTTTCATGCTTGGCAAATTCCCCTCTCTGTGGATATGACACATCTTCTTCATTGCAAGCTTGTGTCGACTTTCGCCAACCAGTCAAACTTCTACCAAGGATAAAATTAAAACGCAATTGACCCTAAACGCGTATGTTTTTCTCTAGCAACTCATGATCATGGCCTATACCACTGATCTTTTATTTCACCTGTCTACTTGTTGCGCAGAAATTTCGTTGCTCCTTGAGCTTAACAAGAAATAGCGGTTGGCACACGAGAGGCGTATTTTCCATATCCTCAATAGTGAAACTATTTAACAATTAGACCCGTAGCCCGCAAGGGCTACGGGTCAATAGCCCATGAGGCGAAGCCGAATGGGCTATTGACCCGTGACCCTTGAGGGCGAAGGGTCTAATTGTTTTAGTATCACCCAACTAGTCGGACAGAAAAGGYAATAATAAAGTTAGCAAATGCAAGTTGAAGAAATATTTATTTGGGAATAAAACGAAAGAAAGCGTCACGCTCGATGGCGCCAATTTCGCTACTCGATGACTATTACTAATAGTCCCCTAGTAGCGTAGCCAATCAAAATGCAGGATTTGCATTAGTCCACTAGTTGGGTGATACTAATGATATTTACCACTCGAAAATAATATTCATATCTTCGAGCGGCTGTGTAATATCTACTTTAAGTTTGCCTGGCTAAAGAACCTGGTGAAAGGAGCTGTCTTTGAATTAGCCGTTAATCATTTGCACACATTGTACATGCGTAAAATAAAGGAATCAAGTTTTTAGGGGATGGAGGTGGGAGTATCTAGTAGCTCTCATTTCGACCTACTATTTTTTTAGATGCAGCGCCGGTGTTTACCGACCTCCCGAGGGTTCTCGAAGTCAAGGAAAACAACCAACGAGGACAAATTATCAAGAACATTTATGGGCAAGCAAGGAGCCGTTGGAATCAAAATGCGTCCATAAAATACACCATTATTAAAGGTAAACTAGTAGTTTAAAAATTTATGTTATAGCTGTACGTGTTTGGCCACTTCAGTGTCATGCAAAACGCCAATGTGTTCTTGGATGGATCAACATGGGGCCTAAAAACAGCCAAACAACGGAAATAGGGCTAATTGTGATTACGTTACAAGAACAAAATGGCATCCTGACGTATAATTTTCGTGAAAAATCAAAGCAAAGGCTGGTTAAGATTGGAGAATAATCAATCCTTTACTTCGTATTCTAGAGAAAGTATTCTCTTGTCTTAGGAATGATATGTCGGGCCTTCATCCAGCCTTTGACATATTTTGTTTATAGATTTACCATAGGTCCGATTGCAAGCCGCTGTTATAAACTGGTGATTAAGAAACAAGCGTTCATCCGCAAATGTGAATAATTAACTCAGAATAATCCTTCGTTCTTCTTATTTACATTCTATATTTGGTACAGGAAATATTGGCAATGCCTTCGAACTCAGGCACCATCCACTCGGGCAAAGCGCGTCCTTAGTGGCGACCAAGAGACTGGACCGAGAAACAACCCCCTGGTACAGCTTAACAATCTTAGCTAAAAACACGGAGGAGAACAAGACAAACACTACAGTGCTCTCGATTAACGTAACGGATGACAACGATAACGCTCCGGTCTTCACGCACACGAATTACTCCGTGACCATATTAAGTAATCGTTCTTCAGGCTCTGAAGTTTTTAGAATCAGCGCAACGGACGCTGACGTGGGCGAAAATGCGCGCATTCGTTTCTACTTGCTCAATCATCAGTCATTATTTCGGATGCTGTCAGACAGCGGAACGATTTTGCTGAATCAGAAGCTCAGAGTGGATCGAACACGCACCTACACGTTAATCGTAGCGGCGAGAAATGGCCCGCACAAGACCATCACTTTTGTCTCAGTGAAGGTTCTACCAGTCAACGAGTATAGACCATTCTTTGAGAATCTACAATACAGGATCAAAGTCTCCGAAGCAATGAAAGCAGGAAACTCAGTGATAAAAGTGTTGGCGAAGGATTTTGACTATGGGACGAATGGAGAGCTGAACTTTTCCATCATAGCTGGAAACATGTCATATTTTAGCATTGACAACACCGGTGTAGTGCGGACGCGGGTGTCTTTACTTACTCTCGGGGGTAAAAACTCTACCTTAACGGTAGTTGTCAGCGACAGAGGCACGCCTCCAAAACGAGCCATACACATAGCGAAAGTGTTTATCATAATTGAGGCGATAAGAAAGCACAAAGTGACATTTGATTTAAAGGAGTATTACGTGGCGATAGCAGAAAACACTCCAGTTGGCTCGACTATTCTTACTGTTCGCGCCGTCTTTGGGCGCGCGAAACTGGACGAAATACCCCAAGCACAGCGAAGGCTTGAGAAGAAATCCAAACGAGTCGTCTATTCAATTGGAAATACCCTGGGTAACTTGGGCTTCACTATCGGTAGACATACTGGGGAGATAAAGACAAAGGTGAACTTGGATTACGAAAAGATCAAAGAGTACAGGTAAGTTATAACTAGTGAGGTGGGAACAGTCAGTGCTGTGATGGTGGGAAGATACTTCAAACATCAGCCAGATTTCGCCATGTAAGCATTAAATTGTCCACTGAGTATTTTACGTTCGTGTGGGAGGACCGGTCACTCAGTCGAAGAGCATAGGTATTCCAGGTTCAAATCTTACAGGGGTCCTTGTTCTCCGTGTTTTGGGCAGGGAATTTTACTTCCACAGTGCCTCAGGAATATAAGTGGAAACCGGCGACAAGAAAGATATGCTGCAGTGAACTAACATGATCCCATCTAGGAGAACAAGCCTTACCGGTCTAACTTACTTTGTGTTACAGCAACCGCAGCAATCTCACAGTCGACCAAAAATACCCTTGTTAAAGTTTTCCCCTGACTTGCACGCTTACATGTATTACTGTTTATCACCAGGTTGACGCTAATTGCAAAGGATACCGAGAAAAAAGACGAAAGCGGGCGCGCTGAAATAGGTAAATAAGGTTTGTTGGAGTCAAAGGGAGAATATAACATAATGATCCTACTTTGGAATTTCCAGTTTTGAATTGCTGTTCCTTTTGAACTTCCCGTGACTAATAAGTAGTCTACTTGACATGCACAGAAAGGAATATGCAGACATTCAAGTTACACTGTGAAAACTCGAAAGTTCTTGAGTAGAACGTTGACCGAAGCGTGGTTTCTATGAATTCTGCGAGTTAACCCCTTTCAAACGCTATTTCATGTTTATTGTAAGCTATTTAGGTACTCATTTGAGTTTTCTAATTCTTAAATGGGTGTGTAACAGTGCCATGTTGCTCTAATGCCATTCCAGACACAGCCGAAGTCAAAATACATGTACTGGACCTCAACGACAACGCCCCTCGCTTCATTCTTGACTCTTACCAGAAGGTAATCAGCGAGAACGCCACGGTGGATTCAGTAATACTACGGGTGACGGCGACGGATCCCGATTCTGGAACGAATGGCCAAGTACATTACTCGCTATTAAACGGCAATATTAATAACACATTTGAGCTAGATAACAACGATGGAGTTTTAAAACTACAGCAAAGGCTCACACGACCTTCTGTGCCTAATTTCTTCAATCTGACGATCTCTGCCACAGATCACGGTACACCTCCCTTAACTTCCAAGTTCGTGTTCGTCTACCTGAAAATTCGACGTCCTATTCCGAAGTGTTCCGAAAAAGGCAAACTGGTTTTTCCACTTGCGGTGTACTTGGGAAATGTCAACGAAAGTTCTCCCTTAAGAACGCCCATTCTGCGCGTGCGTGCGAACATTGGCAAGTGCGCCCCCAGAGCTAGAATAAGCTACATCATTTCAGGACTTCGCGACCCGGAAGTTGATGAGCACTTCGTTGTTCAGCCCCAAACAGGTGTTATAAGACTGATCAAGCCACTGGATTACGAAGTGAGGAATAGGTACTCATTTCACGTCGGAGCAGTAGGTAAGGCACAGAAAATTCATAACGTAAACTTGTTTCCTTTGTTGTCCTTATTTGAGTCGTCGCCCAACTCAAAGCGATTACTGTGTTTTGTTATTGAAAAAGACGCTTCACTCTCTCAGTGCCGCTCTCCAATCAAGTGTATAAATGGATATTTGGCGAATTCAATGCTAGGGGTACCCCTGTGATGAACTAGCATCTAATGCAGGGTGGAGTAAGGCTCAATTATTGGCTACTCACGCGTCCAGCTGTCCAGCCAGACCGAACTCGAGAGAGCGGCGAAAATCCAGCCTAGGGTGGAGTTGAATTCAAGTTACTAAACGAGAGATAACTATGCTCGAAAGCAGACAGTCTTTCTTGTACCGTCAATTCATTTTCTCTGATCTCTTTTTAGATATCCAAAACAATAACACTCCCGACACTGTTCTGGTTCGAATATTGGTGGATGACGTGAATGACAACAAGCCGGTGTTTTTCAAACAGCGCTACAAGGAACTGATAGCGACACTGCCAGAGCCTGGGACCGAGATAACCATGGTCAGAGCATTTGATAGGGACGCTGGGAAAAACGCCGAGCTGGAATACTTTGTGATCAGCGGCAGTGGTGGCTTTTTTAGAATCGATCCAAAGTAAGAGTCACAGGCTACGTTAGAAATAAGAACGAGCTTGGAAACTTTTTTTAAAAAAAAATAAATAAATAAGTAACTGCAGCTACATCAAATAACCTCATCGCATATAAGATAACATACTGTACATCAGAAATTGCGATTCTCTCAAAATGTTAATTTTCAATTAAGAATTAACCTGCTCAATCTCGCATAATATCGTCTGATTGTTACCAACCCTCTGCGAAGGGTATGGCGATATCACACGCGATTTCTTTGGACACGTACAGGTAATCTTATGAATGCGAGTGCAATTAAGGATATTTGAAAATGCTCTCAAAATTGCGCGAGCCTGAACACGAATAGTGTAAATCCTCAATTGCTCGGGCTTTCATACGATTACTCATTTATTATATGACTGAGAAAGTTACGAACAAGGGCGCGTTAATTTGCGCCGCAGAGCAAATTAAAAATTAACGATAAATTAGCCTGCTCTCAGCCAACCACAGTGAAGTAATTTTCTTAGTTATATAACAATTATCGCTACGATGTCATAAATCAAACCGAAAATTCAGCAGCTGTAAGTGAAAGTCTTCGTTTGTGTTTCTCGTGCTAGAACTGGAGCCATTTCAACCATCAAAAAGGTGAATACAGAGAATCTTCGCCTGTTTAACATAACAGTGTCAGTCTCAGATCAAGGCACGCCGCCGCTGTCCTCCGTGCGGCAGGCTCACGTGTCAATACTGGTCTTCACTCCACTCCAGTCCACTCTCATTCTCATTGAAACAACTGACACGACCATGAAAGTGAGGTTTAACTTGAAGTACGTGGCACGTAGCAATATCGTTAAGTATGGCATTATAGTGCAAGAATACGCCCCAGGAGACAGCGAATGTAAGTAGTTTATTTTACTTGTCACTTGTTTTGGTGTAGCCTCCGAATACATTGTTCAAACTCTACACTGTCGGTCTGATTGTCTGTAAGATCTACTCACTGGTCTCCAGTCCCTGTCTTCGATCAGCGGAAGTTCATAACAAGCAGACGAGCTTCCGGTTCTTAATATTCAATCGGAAACGGCACTACTTAAGTGACTACCCGCGGGTTCTGCGCGGGTTCTGTCGATTTTCGGCCCGAAGAAAATGTTTGGTGGTTCTTTCCTATTTAGCTTCTTTGGCAGGAAGGTTGCTGCCTCACAGCTGTTTACAACAAGGAAGCTGGCAATTCTACAATTCTAACAGAAAATAATTTTTTATTAATAGACGAAGAATTAACACAAAAAGATCCACTGACATGGTACAAAGTTCAAAGAGGGTCACGGGAAAACCGCCGGTACATCACCACAGTGATACCATCAAACCCAAAAATCACAAATGTGTTGGAGGTAAATATCGGCGTAGATAAGAACTGCGAGAACAAACGAGCAGATGAAGACTTCTGCAACGGGCCATTAAAGTCAGGCAAGAAATACAGGTGAGTTCAGTCAACCCGGCATTCTTTATTTTGTGTTCGCGATTACCGCAACACTGAACCGTATCTTTACCCTTGGTATTCATGATATACTCAGGCACGATTACAGCCTCGTACTTCGAAGAGCGAGAGATTGTCTCATAACTTCGGAAGGTTGTAAGTTGATCTGGTTCGCAGTTCCAAACATTTTTGTAAAGTGGCGATCATTCGTTGGACAAGTGATTTGTTATTAGTTTACCACGTGCAAAAGGAGAAACAAAACAAGAAAAGCAACCGCACGTTCTTTAGCTTACGCAACATAATTTTCCCGCGCTTTTCGCGGGTGGCATGTTTCCTTTCTTATTTGGACTGGCTTACTTGGCTTAACACCCTATTTCAGGTTACTGTAGGACAGGGTTTGTCGTGATTATGACAGCTGTAATATTGTAGTTGTAGTTTGTAGGATATATAGAGTGGACTCGATTATCAGCCGCTGTTAGGGAAAGGAGCCCGCGTTTTAGCTTCATTCCGGGAGGTGCGAGGCCAAGACTCGAGAGAGCGGCTGAAATTAAGCTTAAATATAGAACTGCTGATAAATCTCAATTTTTCCTAACTATTTTAAACAATATTTTTACTGCTCCAATAGATTTCAACTGCGCGCCTACCTGAAGTCCACGGGGCCATTTCAAGACGTTGCATTTCAGGATAGCGATCTCTCAAATCCACACTTTACATGTAAGTGAAACCTGATCAAAAGATATCACGTATATAACAAGTTACAAGATATGGGTACAAGATTAATCGATAAAGACATACAGGTGTACTACTCTCCAGTCGACGGAGAAGTGAGGACAGCTAATCACGTACTTGTTAGAATTAATTTAAGCACAATTAAACCTTGATTACACAGTTTTTCTCTCACAATTGCCGCAAAGATGACCCAAAATATGATCAAAAATCTTATTGGCAAAAAATGATGTTATATTTTTGCCATTGGGAGGTTATTTCGTGCAATATATCTTTTGATGTTATTATTCATTTGAAGGCTGTGTTTCAAGAATAGATTGCGTCACTAATATTTCAAGTTAATCCATATTTGAGGTCTAAAATAATAAAAAGGAATTCATATTTTTCTGCAGCTTCGCCACCTGAATCAGAGCCGTCGCAAAACATAGAGGGAAGAAAAAATTACGACGCAGTTGTGTATAGTGTGGGGACAGCTTTGGTGCTGGTCATAATACTAGCCTTTTTGAGAGGATTTTATCGATTAAAATTGGACAGAAAGAGGTCAGTATAGGGCGTTCTATTTAAAAGTCAGTTTGCAAGCTGGAGAAACGAAGGTTTACTAAATTTGAGCTCTGTTTCATCAGAGTAAACATATATTGTGAGTTAATGTTCAGCTTCGATCTTTTCCAATTCAAACCCTCCACGCTCCTTTTTAGTGAAAAAGTCTCGTGGCATTTTAAATCTTACTAAACTCTTATTGTGAAGTTAATTTCCTTCATCTTGGAAGAAATGTTTGCGTACACTGTTTCAAAATGTGACTTGCATTATCTACAGCAGCCGGTCCTTAAATTCATACCAATGCGAGTTAACTTGACCATTTGAAATTAACGCTAGGGTCCATTCGTCCAACTAGGGAACTGAAGTTGACGCGCCAGTGCAGAAAGCGTCATGTGATCTGTAACCCAAACATAAACCGCTAGCTCAGATTAGAAACCTACTTGTTTGTGTTTACCCGTAGATCAAAGCAGATTGGGAAAAGAGTTCACAAAGTGAACTAGTTCACTCACAGAGGTGTTGAGGAGGCTGTATTTTCCGCTTTCGCGGAAAGTGACATTCATGATTATCTAGCTAATTATCAAGTGACTAAGTCAATAAGAAATTTCCAAGTCCTACCTTAAGTCAAGGACTAGCCAGCTTCCGGCTTGCTATTGAGACGACGAGTCGTTGGTGCGTTCAACGTCACACGCGTGACAACCTAAAATAATGATCATTTTAAATTTAGAATCAAACAGTTACCTGCTCTTGAATCTTATTTTTCTTTTCAGAATTCACGAAGAAAAGAAGAAGCGCATTTCATTTCCCATGAGCAATCCACGGTTTCAGGAGCCTAACTCGCCAGTTGAAAAGATTAAAACCCCAGGACCCGCAAAGTAAGTGGCTCAAATGAGCATTGATCTTCTTCGTCGAAGAATAACTACCGGGGTGATTTCCATTTTATCAGATTGATCAATCTCACCAACCGTTGTAAAAACAAAGGAAATTCTCCAATCAAATGCGGGCCCACCGAGAAGAATGGCTGTTAAATTTTCTATTCGTTTCGCCAATCCCCCACAGAAGTGAAAATCTACCCAAGAGAAGTAGGGCAACGAAACGGTTTGTCATGGTCGATCGGTCAAAGACTCGAAGTGGACCTAATCCAAAGGTGCTCCCTTTTTCCGGAAATTTCTGGTTGGACAGAACCTACCAGTGTTTTTGTCCTGAAAATCTTTCTTCAACACCCAGAAAGTTTGCCTTTTTTATTCAATCAAATACGTCATGTGTCTAGCAACAGCCCCTCCGAAAAGTGCGAACACAGTCAATTACAAGAGACTGGAATCCAAAGAAAAAGAGTTGTGTCGTTTCTCGTTGCCGAACTCTCTGATTGGTTAAAAAAAACTCAAGCAACACGTTCTAACTAATCAGGACAAAGATGCTGTTTTTTAACCAATCAGAGTAAACGAGTTATTTTTTTCTAAACCTATGATTCTTATAAGATTAAATTTGGAAATACAGTTAACAATAAAGATTAGCGAAAAAACTGAGCAACGAC